CCACCACCCCCAAACTTTTTATAACAAGTAACAGAGCTAAAAACAAGCACATTGCAATAGATAAAGCCCTATGCAGAATGCAATAGCTCTTTTTAGACCTCATATATTAAAAATGACTTTCTAGAATTAAAATACAGTTTTTAAAGCAAAAGAGAAAAAAGGAAACAGAAGCAGAGAGAAAACAAAACAAAACTCAGCAAAGCAAGGACATCGTAAGAGTAATTTATTCAGCTTCTGACATTTTACCAGCATATTTTTACCTGCTCTCTTCTTTTAGTTTCTTGGCTGCCTGTGTTGACAACTTAATCTGCAAGTCTAGTCTCTGCAGGAAATCTCTAGCTGACACTTCTTCAGGTTGTACAGGCTGAACATCAGATTCTTGAGGACTGGAAGGAGAGAGGTCTTCTCCAGCTGCTGCTGGCTCTTCTTCATGAGAAAAACCGCTATCAACAGTTTCATTTTCTGGAGAATCTATTGAGTTAAGTCCATTAAACAACAAAGGCTTCTCTGATATAACTGGGATGTTCAAAGTTTTCTTCAGAAATATACAATCATTCGTAAACAGTTTATTTGCCCTTTTAATCTGCTCCATCTAAAATATGAAAAAGGAAACAGAGTTTTATATAAATAAATCCATTAGTAGGGTTTATTATACAAGCACCTAAAAATATCTGGGCTCGTTGTGCAATGCTTTCTCTGGATTTGAGATTCTTTTTTTTTTAACGTTTATTTTTGAGAGAGAGCATGCGCGTGCAAGTGGGGGAGGGGCAGAGAGAGAGAGAGGGATAGAGGATCTGAAGCCAACAGTGAGATCATGACCTGAGCTCAAGTCAGACACCCAACCAACTGAGCCACCCAGGTGCCCCTGGATTTGAGACTGTTAATTTGGGTTTAGTTACTACCCCAGGTACCCCTAGTTACTTCAAGAGATGTCAGGAAATTGTTTCTCAACTTTAAAAAAGGAAAGCCTAATTTCCCCCCCCACTATTATATTCGCCCTACAAGGCAGCTTTTACCAAGCAGCCTTCAATCCCTGAAATTAAAAAATGTAGAATTTTTAGCACTTATTTTCTAACTTCCAGTCTTGTTTTAACATTTCTATTATTTGATTTAAAAAAAAAAACAAACTAGTACTGTTCTTTTACTTACAGGGTGCTTCCTATGTCTCTGGAATTGTGTTTGGTAAATATAATGGATACAGGAGCTGGTACAGGGATAAATACAATGAGAATTTGCAAGAATGGTGCAGACTGGGGTTGCAGTTGTTAAGAAAGGCCTCAAGGAGAAGGTGGAGTTCTGATTTTGATTCTTCTGACTTTAGATGGGCCTTGAAGAATGGGCAGAAGCAGTAGAGGTAAGGAAAGGAGGTGGGCAGCACTTTACATACAGTATCTCGTATTTCCTACCCCGGAGAAGGTATTTAAAGATTCACTTTACAAATAAACAAAACTCATAGAGATTATGTATCATGGAACCATCGTAAACTGGCAGATGAAGAAGCTGGCATTTAATACAGTTTCTAGAACCTCAAACTCTTTCACACCTGCGGAAGCTTCGTGCAGACCACAGAGTTGGGAGCTGGGGGCGAAAGGGAGAACAGAATTTACACGGGTTGGGTAGTAATCGAGATACTATCATCTCCTTTTTGCAAAAGAAGAAAAGGACACTCCAGAGAGATAAGTGGGGTGCTTCAGTCCACAATGCTGTGAGCGCAGGCAGGGCTGCACGTCTGTGGGCTCCCAGCGAGCGGGAGAAATGCATGCACTTGGCGTTCACCACACGGCATTAACAGCGTCCGGGGATGCCAGGCTCCTCCGCGCCCCACGCCATCGAATTTTCACCTCAGCTCCTTCTTGGGAGGCACAGAACGGAGACAGTTTGGTAAGATAACGAAGCACACAGGCTTAGGAATCTGACAGACCTGGTTTCAAATCCCAGCTCCTCCAACACCAAAGGTCTCAACACAAGCTTAGCTTGTTACTTCTTTCATTCAGCCTGTTTCCTGGTGTGTAAAATAGGTACCCTCTAGCCTTCACAGGGTTGTTGGGAAGATTAAATGAGAGATTGTATACATGCTTGTTTAGAGGAGACAGATAGGTAAGTAGATAAACAGACAGACAGGATATATAAGAGAGAAAGAAAATATTTAGCAGATGATACTACTCTCTTTTCCAATGAAGAAATTGAGATGACTGATTTGACCAAGTGCCTACAGTTCTTTAAATGTATGAGCTAGAATTTCTGTCTGACTCTGAAGTCAAGATAAAAGTGCGTGACTAATGGGACCAAATTACGGGATCTTTTAATGCCAAATTGATTGTGAGTGAAAAAATTAGATTTCTGTATCAAAGAGCCTGAAAAAACAACAGTCGACTAGTAAATGGACCCTCTATCTCCTGATTTCTTACTATAAGCTGAATCTACACAAATAGTACAGTGAAACCTTTTTTTTCTTTTAAAGGTACTACATTAAAGCATCTTTTGTGTAGAGTGGGTTGGTCTTTTGTGTTCTAGTTTCTTGGTAAAGGAGAGAAGGTGAGGGTGGGAAAGAGAGGCATGAATAGGCAGGGGCATTTAGGAGACAAAATTAAAGTCTAAAAATCCTAAGTATCTCTGGTCTAGTTTAGGCTTCAATGTGAGTGATTTAAAATAATTCGAATATCTTATCCATAACAGGTTCAGGTATATTGACTCTGCCTTTAATATCCCCTTGGGTTTTTTTCCTATTTATCAGCTAGCATCCACCTCCTCCATCCTAGTATGTGGCCTTCCATTGGCACAGAACTGCCCCCTTCCCCACTCCAGGGTGAGCATATGACTCATTCTTGCCCTTTGCAGTGTCACAGTGTCCTCGCTTTCATGATAGGTCACAGTCCCATCTTGGAATGATTCAGAGATGCAAGGACACTTTTGCTGGGTCTGGGAGGGGAAAGGTCCTCCATTTTCTCTACCAGAAAGAGCAGCAATCTGTCCACTTCATGGAACCCGACAACAAGGCCACCTTGGAGGAAAGCAATCAGACCTCTGAATCAAAGCCTAAAGCCAGAATACCCTAGGGCCTTTGCGTTCTTGAGCTAATAAATGCCATTGTTTGTTTGTTGTTGTTTTGCCTAAGCCAATTTGAGTTAGGTTTTCTGTCTCTTGTAAATGAAAGAGCCTTCACTGATACAGTGCTCTTTGAAATGCTTATTGGCAGGGGTCTACCATTTTCTGAGAATAATGAAGGAGGACAGAAATTGACAGGGAACACCAGATCTCATTGCTGAGGCAGAACTGAGAACATCAAGCATAAACTGTGAGTTCCTTAAGGACAAGCACTTTTATTTCTATAGCTTCCCTGAGGCTAACAAAGATCCTGTACACACTAAATGCTTAGGGTGGAAGGATAGATAGATAGATAGATAGATAGATAGATAGATAGATAGATAGATAGATAAATTAAAACAGGTTAGAGGAACAGGCATAAAAGATTAACCCCAGGAGGTAACCAGAAAGGGACAGTAAGTCATCTGTTGTGTTACTCTCCCTTTAAATACACCCTCACCATCCAATCCATCCCCAACTCTTCTTGAGCCTGTTCCGAACTCCAAGAGGCTGACCTCTTAAGAACTGCATTACCTAAGCCATGTCGTTGGCATTCCAGTGGGAGTTCCAATGGAAGGCACCAGCAGAAAGACAGCACCATGAATGACTCCAGTAGCTGCATTCCTCTATGGCAGAGTTCCTGCCAGGTAACCCCTCCCTCATCCCAGGCTCCAGCTCTCCCCGTGTGGGATATACCACTTCTTCCCCTGGCCCTTCAAGCCTAGGGGTCATATCTTCCTGCTGTTGCTAGTCTCAGGTTGCTTCACCATCCCTTCTTGGTTCCCTCAACCCTGCTCCCATTCTATAAATGTCCCTTGACTAGGGGTGCCTGGGTGGCTCAGTCGGTTAAGTGTCTGACCGGCTCAGGTCATGATCTCACAGTCTGTGAGTTCGAGCCCCGCATCGGGCTCTGTGCTGACAGCTCAGAGCCTGGAGCCTGCTTCAGATTCTGTGTCTCCCTCTCTCTCTGACCCTCCCCCATTCACTCTCTGTCTCTCTGTGTCTCAAAAATAAATAAACATTAAAAAAATTTTTAAAAAATAATAAAAATAAATGTCCCTTGACTAAATTCTCTTTGGCCACACCCCCTGAGCCCACTGTTTCTTGCCAGAACCCTGACCCATACATCTATCATTCAAAGCAAGACAGGCCATCACAGCCAGGCAAAGGGCCAGTAACAGGAATACAAGACAAGGTGACTGAATCAACAGCTGGGTACAGTTAAGGAGCACAGGGAGTAAAGGGCAGAGTTGTCTAGGTTCTTGTGCATCATCCCACTGATTCACCCACAGAATTGCCTCTTGAATTAGTCTATAAGCTTCTGGAAGTTGGAGACTGTGCTATCTCCATCTCAGCATCATCAGCAAGCATTTCAGGTATACATTCACTCTGTGGTCTAGACTCTGAGATGATACACAGGATGCCAGCATCAAGGACACCAGAGATATCCAGACACAGTTAGCATCAAGGTGGGGAACAATCTAAGAACCGGCAGATTTGAGTCTGAAGGTGAAAACAGGTCAATGACTTTAATACAGGTAGTAGTTGGAAACATGGGCTCCGTGGCCATACTTTCTGGGTTCAAACCCTGGCTTTGCCACTTTCTAATCATTAACGGTTCTGTTTTCTTTTCTGTAAAGTAGGGATAATAATAGTACCTCCCATGCAATATGATCATTATGAGGATTACACGAATCAACTCAGGTATTTAGAACAATGCATAGCCCCCAGGAAGCCCTCAAAAATAATAATAGTTGCTATCATATTATTAAATGTGGTTAAAAAGGAGAAAGTAACAGGCAAGGGCAGATCCTAACATGTATTCAGCAGATGAGAAGGAAGGAGGTAGGAATTTCTCACAATAAAAAATATTTCTCCTACAAAGTAAGAATATATAAAAAAATTTCATACAGACATGCCTGGATAATTAACATTATATGTTGTCAGTGCCCTGAGGTGTGTAAGCTTTATGTTTTTTTGCCCGAAGGTGATAAATTTGATCTTAACTTGTTCTCCTCTACAAGTAGTGGCTTGAACCAACTGCACAGGGTGCAAACTCTGTACCTGTAGTAAAGTTAAGGAATTAACCAGCCATGCAAAAAGCTAGGAGTCGGGGGGGGGGGGGGGGGGGGAGCATTCTGGGGAGAAAAAGCAGCTGCAATGCCCCAGCACAGTAAAAATGTAGTGTGGCTGAAGTGTAGGGAGTAATGAGCAAAACTCCAGGCTACATAGGACCTTGCATTCCAAGGGATAAAATTTAGGTGTTACTTTAAATGTGATGAGAAGCCACTGGAGAGTGAAGAAAGGGACTGACACAATCTGATTACAGTTAAAGGGCACTCAGGCAGCTTTGTGGAAAATGGACTGGCAATAAAGAGGCATCAGTGGAAACAGGAAGCCTAGTCACGGAGGAAGCCACAACAGCACAGACAAGAGACTAGGGATAATCCCAAACAGTGAAATGATGTTTTAGGAATGTTTTATACTTTTATCTGACTATAGATGGGT